AGATACTTGCGTGTGTTGTATGGAATGAGATTGTTGATAGTTTTTCTGTAACGCACTCTATGCCTGGCAGTGCATTCACCAGCCAGTCAGCAATGATAAGGAGTAATGACGTTATCAGCCAAAGTCCACAAAAGATGGCTTAAATGGAAGTGGGGTTACTGGTAATATGTACCTTGATAAAGGCAAATTAAACGAATCCTGGTCGATATATTTTTTTCTTCTCCTCTTTAATATCATGCCCTGGTAATTTCCAGTTAATATTTGGTGTGGTGTCATTTAAAAAAAACAAAAGAGACTCATGGTCCGTTAACATCAAGGTTCTGACAATGAAGGCAGCAACGCTCACGTTCTGTGTTAAAACAACACATTAAAAGATTTACTGAATATGTCATGTTCGCTCTCTTTTTATATATCCTTATCTCTGTCGTCTGTCTGTCTCTCTTTTTTCCTCTCTCTCCAACTCTACCTCCCCCCCTCTCACTCCATTCACATTTATACTCTCTATATCTGTGTTTCTCTCTTTGTATCTCCCTCTTAGTCGTTCGGCCATTGGTGTCCCTGTACGTTTAAGATATATTAAAACCTGGGGTACGTAAAAAAACGAAGATATCTGGTAATTTTGACATATGACACTATAACCTAAGTAATCGAATTGAGATAAATATTAAGAGGACAGTTAAACATTTATCTTTCCCAAAAGAGGTGAGTACCCGCGTAAAAAAAGATTTTACTCCCCATTACAAACATAAAACGAATTTCACAAGTGGGTGGTTAAAACTGCAAGAGAATATAGGAGACCCGTGAATGATTTATAGTAATTCCGCTTCTTCCTACCTGTTTGACCTGAAAAAAGCCAGGAGTGGGTCCGAAATGGGCGACGAAACAGGATAAATGCAAAAGTTCCTGATGATGACGGACATACAGGTGGTCATTGAGAAGTCCAAGATGGTCACTTCGAGAGAAATTCAGTCACAGGTCAAAGCAAATTGTTACAACTCTTAAAGACATATATATATATATCAATGCTAAGCAACATCTCTGATATGCCAAAGCAACAATAAACAAACTATATATCAAAGCCATACTAAACAGCATGAATAATACGATAAAGGAATAACGAACAATGCATAGATACTATATCAAAGCAGAACTGAACAAAGAAACATCATACATTAGAATGATTCAGAAAGAAATACACACTATCAAAGAAATAATGAACAAACGCAGTGCATCCAAGCAATACTGAACACAGCATATCAAACCAATATTGAACAGGATTCAGTGCTTGTACAAATATGCAGATGAATATTGATTCTCCGCTAAAGTCAGTTAAAGATTCAGAAGGACAGAGAAGGGAAACGGAAACTTTGCCTGAACATTTTCTCTTTCGATTGCAGAGATTTGGGTCATTGAGCAAATTGCATAAAGGAGTGGAAACCATCACATTTTAGGAACTGGGAACTATCATATGTTAGAAACCGGGAAAGCAACACACGTTAGAAATCGGGAAACCATCACATGTTAGAAACCTGGAAAACAAGACACGTTAGAAATACGATTAGAAACCGAGAAATCAAAACGTGTTAGAAACCGGGAAAGTAACGCGTGTCAGAAACAAGAAAACCATCACATGTTAGAAACCGGAAAAGCAACACGTTAGAAATCGGGAAAAGCAACACGTTTTAGAAACCGGGAAACCATCACATATTAGAAACCGGAAAAGCAACACACGTAAGAAACCGGGAAATCGTCACATGTTAGAAACCGGGGAAACGAACACATGTTTACCGGGATACCATCATTCAAAAATAACAGGGAACACCTAATATACAAGTTAACATGCTAAATGTTCATCTCCAAGACACTGACATGTGCCGAGCTTGAGCTTTTGTGTTGCTGGAATCTGACGGCACCTCTGAAGGCGGAACAGGTATTGCTATGGAATAATTTCTCATGTTATTGTTCACATTGTTCTGGGAGACCATTTACAAGCTCATTCATGGGAATTATCCGCAGTGGTTAAATGCCCCTTGCAAAACTGTAGGGAACAGCATCACAGGTCGTTCCCAGACACGTCAAGTAAATTTCCCTTTATGTTAAGAGGGGTCGAGTACGATACAGGGGCACGACAAATGGAAATACGTGGACCCAAGTTATGGAACATGTTACCAGATAATATGAGTCATTAATAGCTTCTGTAATTTCAAAACGAAATTAAAAGAACACCTATTAAATAATCAGTTGTAAATATAAATGTATTTATGTAAAGAATAATCATTGTAATTAATGGAATAAAATGTTTTGACTGACATCGAGCTGGCTGCGAGATGTCCGTCGGCCGCCATGGCTCGGGACGGGATCACGGCGGTCGGAACATGCAGCTGAGTGAAACGGAAGATCCGGTGAGAACGGGAGAGAAAGAAAGAAAGAAAGAAAGAAAGAGAGAAAGAAAGAAAGAAAGAAAGAAAGAAGAGTAAAAAAAAAGAAAGAAGAAAAGAAAGAAAGAAAGAGAAGAAAGAGAAGAGAAAGAGAAAGAAAAGAAGAGAAAAGAGGAGAGAGAAGAAGAGAAAGGAAAGAAAGAAAAAGAAGAAAGAGAGAGAACAGAAGAAGAAGAAGCAGAGAAGAAAGAGGGAAGAGCAGAAGAGAGAGAGAAGAAGAAAAGAAAGAGAAAGAAAAGAGAAGGAGAGAGAGATGAGAGTGAAGGATCTGAAGAGGGGTGAGGAAGAAAGATGCAGCATGAGGATCTGGGGAGCATGTGTTATTATTCCATTTAATAATGGCATTAAAATGCAATATCTATCAGTCATATTTCGTTATGCTATACATGTGACCAGGATATTACATTGATTTGCAAGGACCTTAGTAAAAAAAAAAAAAAAAAAAAATCGTCCATAGGATTATTTGGAAAAAGTCTCATTCTTGAATAGAAAAAAAAAGGTAAGATGTTCTCTAACACCAATAACTGCCCCCAACTATCCCTTTTACTGATTGTAATAAATGATAATGAGCTGGATACATATCTAATTATTTACCACAGAAAAACAAAGCTTATCGGACAAATTGGGAGCTGCTCGCCACTCACGGAGTCAAAGTACTTGAAATTTCAAAATCGAATCATCTCTAATATAGGTATTGCTATAGAGTATATGTTTTGTTGTTGTTTTTAACAAGTTCTGTCAATGGATAAGTGAGATTTATCATTTTTATTTATTTTTTTTTTATTTATTATTTTTTTTTATTTTTTTTTTTAATTTTTTTTTTATTTTTTTTTATTTTAACAAGTTATGCTAAAATATTTAAAAAAAGTCCTATCTCTTTTTTTTGCAAAAACAGTCACTAAAATATTTCCTGCTCTTTCGATTAGATCAGAGATATTGTCAGTATTTCCGCTCTGGAGTAACTGGGTATCGTCTACATACTGAACCACAAGCATCGTTAAGCATTTTGAAAAGTCATTTACATATATCAAAAAAAAATGGTCCTAGCACAGATCCTTGAGGGACACCAAAGGAATTATTTTTTCAGAGTTGACGTGACGTTTTGAATTATTACACACTGTGATCCGTTTTTAAGGTAATCTCTCTCTCTCTCTCTCTCTCTCTCTCTCTCTCTCTCTCTCTCTCTCTCTCTCTCTCTCTCTCTCTCTCTCTCTCTCTCTCTCTCTCTCTCTCTCCTCTCTCTCTCTCTCTCTCTCTCTCTCTCTCTCTCTCTCCTCTCTCTCTCTCTCTCTCTCTCTCTCTCTCTCTCTCTCTCTCTCTCTCTCTCTCTCTCTCTGTCTTTGGAATATCGTGGAAATTGAATATCATGGAATTTTGTTTTCAAGTCTGGAAAATCATAGAAATTTCGTGTCTGGCCCATTTTTTCCTTTCTTTTCCTTCATAATGAGAAAGTTTTCAGAAAGAAATCAAAATAAACTTCGGAAGATTGGGGAATCGAATGAAAAGTTTAAATATTACATAGCCTAATTTGATACACGCTGATTCATTACAGCAATTAGTCCCTGGTGTCAATAGAGCTCGCTCAACTTATTCCCTAAATCTTTTATCCTCAGCAACATCAGTTTTGAATTACAGTCATTGCACGTTGTAACCGCATATATGTATTGTGAATAAACATCAAATATTCAAGGAACACTGTGAATATTGCCAGTCATGGAAAAATCATGGAATTTTGATATAAAAAATGTATGAACCCTGGATCGATTACTTTAAATAGACATTAATAATGGAAAGATACTGGTAGAGAGGTGGTGTGTCTAGATGCTGTCTCACGTTTGTTTTTATTATGGTTATAGGAATGATTATTGATTTATAATAAGTAGGAAAAGGGAGGGTGTAGAGTTAACCTTGAAATTGAATTAAGTTTATGTTTATTGCTAAGATTTACATTGTAATATGCCACCTATTTATTATTAAAAGCCTTAAGACCATTAGGTTATGCTACACACATCAAATTTAACAGTGCAGTAATTTAGTAGAATATCTATTTCAATATTTCGTACATGATTTTGTTTATATGACCCCCCCCCACACACACAGAGATAGATATACATATACATGTTCGTGTATGTGTTTTAATATTTTTTGTTCGAATGTTCATGATCTCCTTTCTGTCAATATTTCCCTTTGCTTAGTATTCTTCGTATATGCGCACGACGCCTATTGGTCGAACCTACACTAATGAGCATTCTCAGTTTGCTTTATTTGCGCAGCCTCGACTTATTACAGTTATTTGGTGCGACGGAATATAATTATGTATTTTGGCTACAATTGCTTATCATTTCAGGCGTGCTTCTGACTTTGTGTATTTGCTGGAAGGCAGTAAATAATCGCATCATGTAATGCTAAAGATGTTTTCGTTCCTTTCACTATTCAAGTTTGTAGTTTTTAAGCCATATTAAACATATAAATAGATGTGTGACGTCACAGATAAGTGAATCATATAGGGTTGGAAGGGTGGAAAGGTATATAAGGCGGTTGGCGGCTCGCGGGCACAGCAGTCTGTAGCATAGCGTCAGGGAAGATGGAAGGGCTGCTGCATATCGTCACCATTTTACTCGTTTTGGCTTCGGTCTGTAGTCTCGACATTTTTTTTTTTTTCTTCTTCTTCTTTTTGAGGGGGAGGGGGTTGATAGGTTAGGTTACGTTTCTAAGACGATTCGGTTATATTCTTTTTTATCTATTCCATTTATTCACAGCTTAGCTACTAGTTTGTATACTTCTTGGGGTCTTCACGCATTCTGTATGTTTATTTTTGTGGAAATCTTGTTCGGGGTCGTGACCGGAAGCTTTCCTTTCCACGGGCAGCTCGGGCACTCGGTGAAGCTGCGTCAGGAGTGCGACATCGACCTGCAGGTGGGGTGCCCGAGCGAGGCCGACGAGCAGCCGTGGGTGTCCTGCTCGCGGGTCAGCTGCTCAGTCACCAGGAAGAACGTATGTATGGAGTAATGCCGTAAGAACTGTTGAGAGCGAAATGAAACTAATGGATAAAGGCAATAAATTGATAGTCAACCATACAAATTTATTGGTACACAATTATGTATATTCTTTCATTTCTTGCTACAGACCTGGTTCATTGGAGAATTGTACAAGCGCGTGGACTGCTTGGAAGCAGAAGGCAAAATGGTGAAGGTTGAGTACCGGAAGGATGGGAAACTCTCGTGCTCTCTCGTCCCCATCCAGACAAGTAAGTCATATAAGAGAGAGAGAGAGAGAGAGACTAGGACAGAGGAAGAGGGAGAAAAGGGGAAAAAAGTAGAAAGAAACAGAAAGCTCCCTAGGGAGCAACGGGAAACCAGAGACAGATCGAGAAATAATAAATAACTCTACGATGCAGGAAATCTCTTACGCAGTTCTGATGATGCAATATCGCCACGCGTCGCATGCATTCATCGCTCTGGAAATGAATCCTTTTCACTCATACCTTTTCTACATGAGTCCTACCGAGCTCCTCCTAACACGGCACCCTCTCCCCCCACAGACGAGCTTCTCCTCGCAGAGTACTTGAACCCGAGTATCGCCTCGTGCGGCCCGCCCTCGCCGGCCCCCGACGCCCGCCTCCAACTTTCCTAAACTTCGGGACAAGAACTCGAAATTGGGTTTTGTCGTGCACGAATAGTTAGTCAATGCAGTATGCGAGTTTAATTGCTTTGGGCTGATCCACCTGGCACTAAATCTAATCTAACCGTTGATTTGGTCCGATCATCTTGCAACTTTGCCTTTAATAAGATGTCATTCAGCCGGGCAGTTTGGTGGACCCCCTTAAGCGCCCTGCAACTGGCTGGATCCACGAGGTTTGATTTCGTACTACGTCTGGTATTGGGGTTATTTACAAAATTGTTTTACAAAAATTAAGCAGATAAAATGCTGATTCAAGATGAAAATCTTAGACATATTTTCAGCATAAGTACTTTGGCAGAATTTACCTATTTAATGATATCTTAATAAATCAAAGGGATACCATTATGTGGAGAAATAATGACTGCAATATATTAAATTTCTCCAATGTTCGGAATTAATCATTGCTATAAATATTTGGATGCATATGAATAACATACTGTCCTGAAGTATTTAAAAATATTGACAAATATACAATAAACTGTTTTATTAATGTCTTTCATGTAATAAGCTAATTGACACTGACGCACAGAACATGAGAGACAAAGAGAGAAAGAGGAAAGAGTAATGCAATATAACTATGAGGAACATTTATTTTCCTTGAGTGGAATTCTTCTGTAATATTTCGGTTTATCGTAATAGGTTTTTGAAACGTAAAAAAAAATAAAACAAAAAAACAAAAAAAACAAAAAAAAAAAAAAACAAACAAAACAAAAACAAAAACACACAAAAAAAAAAAAACAAAAAAAAAATAACAAAAACAAAACAAACAAAAATAAAATAAAACAAAAATAAAAATACCAGCGAGCCAAATAGAGGAAACAAAACACCTTCGAATAGTTCATGCCAGGAACACTAAGAACATGAAATTTGAAATATTGGGTTAAGCCAAAAGGGAACGAGTCTCGCCTGCGGATTTCAAGGACAGTTGCTCTCAACGCCAAGGCTGGAGCCATATCTCCCAGTCTAATATATACACACACACATATATGTGTATGTGTGTGTGTACATACATATATACACACACATATACATGTGGGTGTGGGTGTGTACATACATATATGTGTTTATATGTATGTATATATATATATATATATATATATATATATATATATATATATATATATATATATATATATATATAATATGATGTAAAATATTGGATCCAATAAAGGAAAGTAGAATTCCTTCGTCGATCGCTTTTCGTCCTGGTCTGAGCAAGCCAGCGGTGAAAGAGCGTTTTACCAACAACCAGCCACAATGTATAATAAATGAGATGAAGCTTTGATTTTTAAGATATCTAAACCTTACACTTTTGAAAACAACATTACTTACTGCGAACAGCTGATTGCTTGGTGTAAACAGCCTGTTGATTGTTGTAAACAGCTGATTCCTTGATACTGTCAGCCTTTAGCTTTCCAGCTCTCTGATTTTCATTAGGTGTCGGAGTCGGTTGAACACCGGTTTCTGATAAAGAGAATGTTAATCATTAATCTTAATCATTTGAAAGCAAATGCAGTTTCTTAGACTGCAGCTTACAGCAACAAGCACATCTGGTTTGTCTTCGTTTCCATAAAACACTTTTAAGCAATAAGTTTCATTACAGTTATTATATTATATATATGATAAATAAAGATAACTCATGGCCAGGAAATAGATGTATTATATGGCTACAATTTTTAAAAGCGCTGGCAACCTCATCATCCATGTTTACATTTCCTTTTGAAATGGTGGGATTTAACTTGAAAATTCTATTCAATATTTTCTATGACCACAGCGACATCAGACCAACTTGTGACGTCACAGGGCGGGCCAGAGGCTTCATATAGGCTGCATCGCGACTCGAACGCTGTCAGTGCCCCTCGACGTCTCTTAAGGATGGGTCCGCTCAGCCAAGTCGCCGCTCTCCTCCTCATGCTTTCAGTCAGTGGGAGAATCTCGTCCGTTTTTATTTTTTCTCTGCTTTTGTGATTTCATTATTTCTTCCCCCAAGGGCTCTCTCTCTGTCTGTCTCTCTCTCTCTCTCTCTCTCTCTCTCTCTCTCTCTCTCTCTCTCTCTCTCTCTCTCTCTCTCTCTCTCTCTCTCTCTCTCTCTCTCTCTCTTGTCAAAGTCTCTTTCTCTCTCTTTTTCCCACTCTCCTCCCTCCTTCCTCCCTCCCCCCCTCTCTCCCTCTGTCTTTTTCCATAACATCGATTGCCTCTCCACAGGCCGCGCACTCGGTGAAGCTGCGTCAGGAGTGCGACATCGGCCTGCAGGTGGGGTGCCCGAGCGAGGCCGACGAGCAGCCGTGGGTGTCCTGCTCGCGGGTCAACTGCTCGGTCAGCGCCAAGAGGGTGAGTGAGCGAAATCTTGAGGATCCGGACCTTTTAGCATGAAGATTCTGGAATGCAGACGAGGCATACACGAGAGATACATGAATCGACATATATACTTAGTGCCGGATTCTCAAAAGAGCTTCAAGATAAGGCGGACTGGAAGCTCTAACCGTCCTGCTGAATTTCCCTTGTATATGAGCGAAGAGTTGACTTCCCACCCGCCGTAAGCGCTTAAGGCTGCTCTCCCCCTGCCTTAACGAAGGCGTCTTCACTCGCACCAATATGGCGGGTCCCTTGTATGTGTATGTAAGATCGCTCCGCCGTAAGTTAAGGCACCTTAAGGAGATACGGAGCTTTAACGCGTTTGAGAATCTGGGCCGAATCTATATATGTATACAGAGATATGCACGTGTATTGCAGTTATGGATGGTTAAGGTATACACAGGAGAAAGCGATAAACAATAAAAGATTTTCCCTTCTGATAGACCTGGTTCATTGGAGAATTGTACAAGCGCGTGGACTGCTTGGAAGCCGAAGGCAAAATGGTGAAGGTTGAGTACCGGAAGGAAGGGGAACTCTCGTGCTCTCTCGTTCCCATCCAGACAAGTAAGTCATGTATATATGAGGGAGAGAGAGAGAGAGGAGAGGAGAGGGAGAGAGAGAGAGAAGGGGGAGGAGAGAAAGAGAGAGTAAGGTGGGAGAGAAAAACTGTGAGACTGAGAGAAAGAGGGGTAGATAAAGTGATAGATAGATAGATGGACAAAGAAATAGAGAAATAAATAGAGATATAGAGTTAATTAGGTAGATATATAGATAGATTGACTGACTGATAGATTGATAGATAAATAGATAGAGGTAGAGACAGATGTTGACGAGTTTGTGAGATGGAGGTGAAAGCAGATTGATAAATGTAAGCAAAAGAAAATGCAGAGCATAAATGTATCTAGTTGTGTATGTGTGTGTGTGAGGGAGAGAGTGAGAGAAAGGGAGAGACAGCATCTCGGAGGCCGAGGGCTTCTCAGTCAACTGTGTCCGTCTCTCTGCCGCCAGACCCTGTTCTCCTTCAGGCTTACCTAAGCTCTGCCAACTCGACGTGTAAACCTGCGGAGCCCACTTCAGGTGCCCCCGCCTCGGGAACTTCGGGTGCCCCCACCACAGCGACGCCCACCACAGCTGCCCCGACCACAGCGGCGCCCACCACAACCGCCCCGACCACAGCGGCGCCCACCACAGCCGCCCCGACCACAGCGGCGCCCACCACAACCGCCCCGACCACAGCGGCGCCCACCACAGCGCCCGACCACAAGGCCGCCCGACCACACCACAACCGCCACGGAACCGCCGACGACAGTTCCTTCGTGTCCCGAGGGCTGGACGGCTTTCGAGTCCTCGTGCTTCCTCGTGAGCGACGAGTCCGGGACCTACGGCGACGGCTGGAACTTCTGCCGGGCCCGAGGGGGCGTCCTGGCCTCCGTCAGGAGCCAGGCGGAACAGGACTTCGTGACAGGTGAGAGGGACTGCGATGAGCCTGTGTTTGTTCTCCCGAGTGACCACATGGATGGGGAGAGAAGTGAACGGAATCACGTGTCTAATTCCTTGTTGCTCTCTCTGCACAGGCCTCCTGCCGGGCTCCGTGTGGATCGGGCTGAGCGACGGCGTGGCGGAGGGCGCCTTCGCGTGGGCGGACGCCTCGACGTCGTCCTACACAAAGTCAGTGAAGGAATCTCTCTCTCCGGAGGCCAAAGAGCCCAGGCTTCGTCCTGACGCCCGACTCCTCCCTGGGCTTAGGTCTCGAGGGCGGGCTCGTCAGATACTCACTTTGCGGGAAATAAGACGTTTTTCTAAGCTTGCTTTACTCTTGCGCACATTTTTAGAAGTATCCCCTTAGCTGCAGCTGATTAAAAAACAGCTGTTATAACTGTCAATGTGTCCGATTTTCACACACACACACACACACACCTATATATATATATATATATATATATATATATATATATATATATATATATATATGTGTGTGTGTGTGTGTGTGTGTGTGTGTGTGTGTGTGTGTGTGTGTGTGTGAGAGAGAGAGAGAGAGAGAGAGAGAGTAGATAGATAGATAATATAGAAATAGATGCAAGGGTCCCTTCCTCCCCGCAGCTTCTACCCGGGCGAGCCGAGCGGGTCGGGCGGCCACCCCGACGAGGACTGCGTGGAGCTGCGCGCCGCCTTCGGCTTCGCCTGGAACGACGAGTGGTGCGAGACGCGCAACCGGTACATCCTTCTATCTATATCTACCTCTCTATCAATATATCTATTTGTTTTCCCATAAGCATACGCATGTGTGTGCGTGTGAATGTATTATCTAAAAGAACATGTGATGTTGGTACATTGATGAATCCGTGACACGAAGCCTTTGTCAGAATAATGTCCTATTTCTTTTACAGTTACCTCTGTCGAATCGACGTCTAAAGGACGGTTTAAACAGAAGAAACCTGTTTGAATAAAGATATCACGAAAACTAAATGGCTGTTCTTACAAAAACAAACAAACTGCGCATTATTCCTCAACAGTGGGCTGAGGGAGGGGGACCAGTCTCGGGCTTTCGCTGTTGACCTCAGACACGGTTTTGTCTGCCTTCTCTATCTCTCTATATTTCTATATATTTAGCAATGTCCAAATTTGCACATCATTCTATCATTTTATTTTACTACCCACAATGCACTCCTTTCCTTTTCTTTTGTTGATGACTTCTTATAACTGACCCGATTCTTGAACTCTTTTATTGATTCATTGCTGCTCCTCCTTGGGATCCAAGATAATGGAGAAGAATAACAGGAAACAGAAAATCAGTCTCAAAGGAGGCTATTCTAGTCAGTGGCAGTCGGATTTAACGCATAGCAAAACCTATTTGTTGTCATTATTATCAGATGTATGTCGATGAATATCCATTTTCATTTTTGTGAAAAGATGATTATAGCTTTTGCAGCGAAGTGGAAAACCATTATCTTCCCTCTTGGGTTCTGGCAGATTATTGGTACCGATAAATCTCTAATGATGAAAATGATTGCCTGTGTTGATGATGATGGTAGTAAGCTAAAAGTAATAGTAATGCTGATGATAGTGAAAATGATGCTGCTACTGGGAAGTACAATAACAGTAAAGCTACATTTA